GACGGTCGTGTGAGAGCATAAAGACTCTCTGTTCAAGTCAGCTCGATTCTGAATTTAATTTTTTCAAATTTAAAAGTTTAGCGCGTTTAAACGCATTGGAAACTAACGCGTTTAGCAGGATGTTTTTGCCACATTTAGGGTGTCAAATGCGTTAAATTATAACGCGCTCTAACGCGGTGATTATCGACACTGTGAAACGCGTTGATCAGTAACGCGTTTGAACGTCCGGAATGTGACAAAAAACATCCTGCTAAACGCATTAGTTTCTATGAAAATTTAAACGCACTCTAACGCGTTTTTTTCGCAGAAAAAGTTTGCCTGGGTAAACAATTCTACTTATTTTGAAAATATAGTTATAACGTTCTTTTAGGTTATAGCGTGACAATTGTTGTTGAAGGTGGTATCAGTGTATTGGAAGTAATGTTAAACGATATTCATGCTGAAAGGCCGATAATTCTAATACTAGTAAATAATAGTTCTACCCTCATAAGGTAATAACAGATTGTGTAATTTTGTTAAAATTAAAATGTTCTAGGGGACTGGTCGAATGGCAGATGTTATTGGCAATTTAATTCAGTTAACATCAAATGCAGATCAAAATATTCAAAGGTGAGTATCTTTGTTTCTCATTTCCCATTGACCGTAATTTTTATGTTTTATTCTGTCTGTCTTCTTTTTCTCTAGAGAACCAACAAGAAATGAAATACGTTGTAATCTCTTAGGTCTATTTCCCATTCTCGATCACATTGGAAACGAAAATGAATTAAATACTTGTATCGAACAAATTAATGAAATAATGACGATTGTCAATCGAAAATTTCTATATGTCGATCGTTTAAATCGAGATCAAAATATAACTGAAACAATATTCAAGACTATATTTTCAGGTACTTATAAGTGATTATTCTCAATTTAAAATCTCCGTATCTTTTAAACGTTATATTTTAACATTAAAGATGTTTCCCATGTTTTGTGTTCTAGCATATCAAAACAGAAATTGTATCTCCATTGGTGGTCCACTAATAACGAATCGAAAAAGATTCTTTGAATTAGCATGTAAATTGAATTATTTTGATGGGATTAAACAAGTGGTTGAATTAATTAATTCAGATAAAGAGATCGAAATCGAAAAGATGAAACGATCGGTGCAACAATCTAATCAGTCCAGCTTAGCAAATGTGACTGCTTTGGAATCCGTACAAAGCCTAGAAACGTTCACACTGGTATGAATCTTTATTCAGTTGGAGTTAGGCATGTTCAAGCATATCCGGTTCGACCGGTTATGGCCGGATATTGGCTACCTGACCTAGTGAATATGACTGGTTACTCATTTTTGATAAACGTGTCTAACGAGATAAAAATCGATCATGTGCGGAAGATCCTGTATACAATATCCGGTCATATCCGTTTGTACGCGGTAAAGTTACAGTATAGAAGAGAAACGTTTTGGGGCTTGTGTGTTTTTACCTGATTTATTTTAAGACCCGAACATCAATTGGAGAATTATTATGGTATTCATTAATGTACAATCGGCCGTTGCCTGTTGAATACTTTTTAAGATTAGGTCATGATCCAAGAATTTTTGGATCAAAATTAAATGAGTATGGTTGTCCAAAAGGAGTACTGAAGGAGGGACGTTGTGTAGCACTTATAATTAAATTATTCAGATGTTCCGAGATCTCAAAAGAGGTAAGTTAGATGTGCCGAAAATTTTAAACTTCGGCTTTGTGGTGTTTATACATGACTGGTTAGAGTTCGAGCTGAGTTAGACTATATAACTTTAAACTTCGAAATAATTCGAAAAATTCAAAGTTTTAAAAGTCATCTAAACCGCCCTAATTTTCAAAAAAATGGGAAACTCTCATATATCTGCTTTTACAATTTAAAAATGTTTTATTCTTATTCTACTTCGAAAATTGTATTGTATGTAGGAATATATTTTTGATGTTCGACGTGGATAAATCCTCAGCATACCTACTATCATTAGACCGAGCGCGACGAGTGACCAGATTTATCTCTTCTTGTGGATCTTGGCGAACTAAATCCAATGCTAAAACCGCAGATCCCAGCTTTTTTTAAAAGAATAGTTATACGCATATTATGCGGTCAAACGACGTTTTCATTATGGCTGACGGCGGAGACATAGGCTTATTAAAATCAAGAAGTTTCTCTTTTGTTCCGTTACCCACTTGTTACGGTACTTTTTAATGGAACACTGTGAAAGTCGCGTTTATTTTGCAGCGAATTCAATCGGCTAACCACGGGAGTAGAAAACTTCTCAGTGTACAATTTGATGTTGCCAGGTTTTCAGAGAAACCGGCTTTTTCTGAAATCACATACTCAAGGCTCAGAAACCAGCACCGTTGAAACATATGGAACTCGGCGAGCTCTTTCATTAGGACTAAATTCAAGGTTCTATTAAATGAACAACCGTCACTACGGGCTTTATAGTAAAGCGTAAAATCCGCTTGAAAATGGTAAAAGGTGTAAGTTACTTTGCCGCTAGCAGATTAAAATGCGCATAAGTTTCTAAAAATGCTGGCATCTGCGCTTTTCGCCATTGGATTTAGCTCGTGAAGATCTACAGGAAGAAGTAGATCTGATCATTGGTGTACAAGACCGCTGTAATAATGTCAGGATATGCCTGAATACGTCCACTAGTGTCATATGGTATTACTACAAAAAATTAAAAATTCGTATATAAAAGGAAAGTCATACTTTTATCTCTGCCGAATGCTTCAACTCTTGACATATGAGGACGATGGCAATATTTCCGGTGGTTGTACTAGCCATTCGTGAAGAAAAAAGTACGGAAAAATGTCAACGTACTTTTGTGACTTTTCAATTTATTGTAAGATGGTAACCTCAGCCAATGAAGTACAGCGAACAATTGAGTAAGATACAAGAGTCTGATAATTCAAAGGATCTAGGAATCAAAAAAATATATAAACATAAGATTTTGAAAAGCTGAAAGTCAAAAGAAATAGACGAAAATAAGAACCTTACGACACTAAAAATCAAAAACAAGTCTTATAAAATTTGCAACCTCAGTTCAGCTCAGACCTTCTATATAACTTTTGTGCTTTTATATTTCCGTGATTTTAGAGTCTTTTTAGACGACATAATTTCTACAACAGATTAGACTTTGCTAGTGGTGTTCGTATATTAAACGCATCACTTAAAAGATATGTCGGCCCTTACATTCGTCCGATTTATTCTAGTTATGATCCCCTTCTCCCTCGCCCTTACTCTGACCATTACCACCCTCGCCGCGAGTTAGAATTTGAGAAAGAAATGGAAGATTTAGAGGACTACGATGAATCACCGATTATTCAGCGTGACTATACACAACAAGAAATGTTTCGGGATTTATTTATATGGAGTGTATTCATGAACTTCCCAAAAATGGCAAAAGTGTTTTTAAGTTATCTAGAGCCAAGAATTTGTGCTTCATTAATTGCATCAAAAGTTTTTAAAAAATGCTCAGAAGAAGTAACCGATATTGATCTAAAACAAAAATTTGAATTACAAGCTTTGGAGTTTGAAATTTATGCTGCAAAATGTGTTGATACGTGTTATGAACATAGCAAAGACTTAGCATGTGAATTGTTACTAAGACAGATACCGTTATTTGGAAATGTAACATGTATGCAAGTAAGTTTATGGTTTTCTGCACCATAGTCCATAGGCATATCTCAGTTATCGTTAAGAAACAGTTAACGTGTAACTGACTAGCGTATCCATACCTTAAAGGATGTGCCGTTAATATCCATTACAACGTACGGATTCAAATTCAGTGTGATTTTGGTTCACAAGATTGAAAACTGCATATTGGCAAAATAGTGCAGGTGACATTTATTCTGCGTCCATCCGTTAATCTGTTCACTGTGTTAGGAATACTAACGAGGGAACCTCCCGAGGTGATAAATCGCTTTTTGATCGACATCTAGTGGGTTATAGGTTATCGACCATGTTGATCCCGAATATGACCATGAGCTTCCCCATAGCTCTTCGAAGATCTAGTCTTCTGGAAAACCAGTTTTTCAGAAACTCTAAAAAACAATCCAAGCCTTTCTTAATAATGCAGAATTGTAGCCCGTAAATTTCTGACTAAAATGAAACATTCCCCAGCTCTACACGACCTTTCTTTCCAAAGTTATAGGAAGAGCCCTAAATTAATTTTTTCCTTCTTATTTTTGTAGCTTTGAGCTGATAATGAACAATTTAGGGCTCTTCTTATAACTTTGCAAAGAAAGATCGTTTAGAGCTGGGGGATGTTTCATTTTAATCAGAAATTTGCACACTACAATCCTAAATTGTTACGAAAGGCTTGGGTTATTTTTTGGAGTTTCTGAAAACTGGTTTTCCCGAAGACTGGATCTTTGAAGAGCTATAGGGAAGCCCCATAGCCATATTCGAAATCAGCATGGTCGATAACCTATAACCCACTAGATATCGATCAAAAAGTGATTTATCACCTCGAGAGGTTCCCTCGTAAGTTACTCAGTAGTATTCAACGTACTGTACATAAATCAAGCGTTTTGTTTATATATCGTTTTCCTTCAGTGCTCTGAGCCCGTAAAACGCTATGGGCTGGTTAGTTGTAACTGGTAGGTGCCAGTAGTAGTTAAGTCTTATATCTGGAGGTACAATTTCTCATTTTAACAATCTCATCTCAAATGCGTAATAATGGTATCCTTAAACGGGTTAACTTTGTTTTCAGGTAGCAATATCAGCTGAAAGTACAAAATTTCTTGAGACAGCATGTTTTGACCAGGTATTAAATCGAGTTTGGTATGATAAACTGACATTATTAAATCAATCGGCACTTTCATCACAATTGAAATTGTTTGGTAGTATAGTTACACTCGGATTAACTGCACCATTGTTTTTGGAATACCGTAAACGAACTGTGAGTAGAACTGATGAGGGATAGAAAACAATTATTATTACATACTTACAGCATATCAAACACTAAATTTTTATTTAGTATGGTACACGAGAATGGAGGTACACTGTTATCTTATTATCTTCTTACGTGTGAATGTGATTTAACGTTCCTTGTTTTTTCCAGTCTGTCATCAAATGGTATTAATTACTATCAAAACATAAAATCTGTCAAACGACAAGTATGCAATAGAGCATCTTTTCCTTCACTGAAGTTTTTTTATGCTAAAACGATGGAAGCTATCTTTCTGTTTCGTATTCTATCATATTCTACGATTACAAGTAAAAAGTGACTTTCTACATCATACTTATGAGTCTGTATTGTATGTGCAAGTATATCAACTATGAATTCTTCTGAATCGAATGTCGAAAACCACAGACTTCCATCTTTTGCGGAAAAAAAAGGTATGTGCATTTTACTTTATCTGCATATCCTTATTTAATCCTTAAGCAGGTTTTTGTGGAAGAAATGAGCGGCTCGAAAGATTCGAAACAGGAAAAAAAGGACTTCAGTACATTTTTCTACAATTTATCACTTTTGTATCTGCAATTTTTGACTTTTTTTCTAGCGAATTTAACTTAAATACTCTGGTGACTGCATTCTTCACTACAGAACATTTCAAGACTGTAGTCTTACCCAAGCGCCTCCAAGAATAATCTAGTATCGCCCGATTCACCTAGACATAGATTTTTACTCGATTGCAGCTACTGTGTAACGACAGTGGAAATCTAGTAATTGGGCGATTAATAGATATTTTCTAGTTGTAACTATCGATTTATCGTCCAATAATCGATCGATTTAACTACTGCTAGATGCGCATGCAGACGCATCTAGTTAGAAGTGTCTTTAGAAGTCCCTTTTCCAACTAGTAATCTAGATGACAATTTGTCATGTATCGCCCGATTATAGACGAAATGTATCTAGATTTTTCTCATAGATGATGTTTGCGTGGGTTAACCCTTAATAAATGAGCACAAAAAGACATGTAGCACCGCTGGAGTTTGAGAAAAAGGTTTCTGAAAAAAGAGAAAATTCATTTCGAAATTTTTTTCACTACATCAATTGATAATCCGTTTAATTCTCTGCGCAATAAGACATGTACGAAGCTTTTACAGCGTTTGATCAAGAAATAGCTGAGCAAATACGCTTCATTTGGAGAAGCACAATAGAATCAATAGGTCCGATGATTAGATGCTACTAATGTTAGGTTGTTCTTAACTCCGCTATCTATTGCCTTAAAAACGTCGTTTGTGTCTCATTTTATAGAAAAATGAATGGACTTATAATTGATGCAGTCAGAAAGAACCTTCTGTAGACACTTTTTACTTGGACTGTCGACACGCGATATAATATGAAACAACAGCGTGTCTTCTGTCATTTTAGCGCCAAAAAGTTCATTGGACGAAGACATGCTCTCAACCACTATCAAAATATTGTGAAAAATGGTGGAACTTTCATAAGATGCCAGTAGTTAAAATGTGTTATCATTTTGTACGTTTGATTATAGAATCTATGCAGTTTAGTATTTAGAAATATTATTACTCTGTGAGTTTCTAGGCCGCTTTCGTGGGATTTCTGTTCGCATTCAGTTATATGATGTTGTATAAATTTGATACTCCTTCAAACAGAAATCGACAAGTGCACTGGACTGAAATTTATGTCATTGTTACGGTTGGTACAATGACGATAGAGGAATTTCGAATGGTATGCAGTAGTGCGTGGTCTTTAGTTTTCATTTTCACAAGAAATTTCTTGTTTAGAAATACTGGGAGAATAAAAAGAAAATGTTAGAGAAAGCTGAACGTTCTGGAGCATCGGTTTCAAAAATTTTTTATGTTTTGCCATTCTTGTCATTCTATTTGAGTATATTCTTATTTATTATTTGTTATGCATTTGATAATACAACAGATATTTTCAAAGCCTCACGTATTATAATGGCATTTAGTTTGGAAATGTGGTTTCTACGATCACTGAAATTTATTATTGCAGTAAAAACTTTAGGACCGAAAATCTACATGATTCGAAATATGGTAAGATAAAGAATTAATGAGAATTAGATTATATAAGGTAACGAGTATGTAAAAGTTAAAGATTGAGCGAAAAAGTTATTTCAAAAAGATAACGGTCATTACAATACTAGTGAGACGTTATAGAACATGTTTTTATTAATTCAGCAAGTGCGATTCCGCACGTAAGACTGGATACGTGAGCAGACTGAACGACATCGACAGTGGGACGAAAAAATGGTAGTTAACCGGCAGCAATTCCATGCCAGATATTCAAACATCACTAAACACCAAACGCATATTTTTCTCGTTCAAAATGCAATGAGCATCATTTTGAAACGAATAGAAACTTAAAATCAACTCAATTATTTTCGATTTGATTAAAAGGGAAGATACTTTAATTTCGTATTTTATTAAAACAATTTAAAAATATTTAAAACAAATATATAAGACAATGGACCTCTTTTAAATTGAGATCTTCTTCAGTGAACTTATAAACTATGTATAAAAATATATAAAAATAAAACTATAGTTAAAATTGTTACATATAATGTGTGTAGCTTTAAGATTGTAATGTGACTTTATTTTCGAGTTTTGTCCTCTTTAGTTTGAAAGCTAAATCTTGTCTAAAACTTTCACCGTGCCGCATAACTTCTTGCTCTACCCAGAAGCTGTATGGATATCTACCGTACTAGAAAATGCTCAAAAGTATATTTTAAAGTTAATTGCAGTTCGATTTCATTTTTATAGTTACATGATCTGTTTGCATTTATCTACTTAATATTTATTGCTATTGTTGCTTATGGTGTTGTTTCACGTGCATTAATTATGCATGGTCAAGTTGAATTTACGCTCCGTGGAATATTTGAAAACATATTGTATCCCCCGTACTGGTTTATACACGGTGAAATAGATGATAGAGAGAAACTAGATGGTAAACAAGTGATACGGCTCCAACTATACTCTTACTAAATAAAAACAATTCTTTTTTCTTTTTAGGCATGATTAATAATGGTACTAGTAAAATAGTGGCTGAAGCAACAGTAACACATGTCTTACTGGCATTACATATGCTATTTATTAATATTTTACTATTAAATTTACTTATTGCCGTTTTTACGTATGTGCACAAGAAAGATGTTTTTTCTGAAAAATTGCCTATACGTCAATTCAATCTTTTAGTGATACAATAGGCAAAATACAAAAGAATACAGATTTCTATTGGCGTTATCAACGTTATCTATTCGTACAAGAATATGTTCATAAGCCAGCATTATGTTTTCCACCGTTAATTATTATATCGCATGTATATCTTTTATTCAGACTATTATACGTCGTTATATACAAGTATTATTATAATAATTACGGTAGTCTCCCTAGAAAGAGAAGCATTGACGATGAACCATTTCGGTTGAATGCGTTGCGAATCTTCAGTATGTACACAATAAAACAAAGAGCGACAGAAAATGTACTTACCACAATGATTCCGTTGTTGTTTAGAAATCATACCAAAAAAACCAGAAAACTCGAACGAATATTGGAATAATTTTGAAAATGCAGCAACTTATAGTCATGCCCGAGCATTCGTTGAAACTCTAAATGAAGGCACTGCAATGGCAACAAATAAGTTAGTGTCAACTATATAGCGTTGTTTTCGACTCTCACCAGACCGCCTTTAGCATGTTCTTAGACCAATTCTCCTTTTGTATGCCATATATAGTAAGTACTACAATTCACTACAGCAACTCGTGGAGGAAGTGGAAGACGTAGCAAAAGTTATCGCCAGGTACTTGTGAGTGTGCAGGCTTAACAACAAACTTTCAGTCATGGGATCCGGTGTATCAGCACGATGCACGCTACTTGTAGTTAATTGCTGTACTGACGAGGGAAGTCCACCAACTTGAAAATTGTTTGCGGGCCAGCCAAAATCCAATCCGTCATACGTTATCGACGGTCCTGAATCCGAATATCACCATAAGACCAGCTGCTAGACCTTGCATGACCTGGTTTTCCAGAAACCCCCAAAATTCCCAAAACCTTTTCTGAATACGTCATGACTGTAGCCCACGAAATTAGGATCAAAATGAGACGTCCCCCAGCTCTACGCGATCTTTCTTTGCAAAGTTATAGAATTTACAGGATGCGCTCTAAATTTCTTTTTCTTTCTGTAGCTCTGAGGTGACACTGAATATTTAGAGCTTTTCTTGTAAATTCTATAACTTTGCAAAGAAAGATCGCGTAGAGCTGGGAGACGTCTCATTTTGATCCTAATTTCGTGGGCTACAATCATGACTTATTTAGAAAAGGTTTTGGGTATTTTTTGGGGTTTCTGGAAAACCAGGTTATGCAAGGCCTAGAATATATCGATATTCGGATTCAGAACCGTCGATAACCTATGACCCACTGAATTTTGGCCCGCAAACAATTTTCAAGTTGGTGGACATCCCTCGTGAGTACCTGATACGACACAATGAGCAACTTTTTCAGGAATATGCCGCTCTTTCTATGAGTTCAAACTAGGGCTGTATCCGTTCGCGCTGGTTTGACAAAAATTTGAACGGAAGAGGAACGTTTTATGCCGTTGACGTTTCCAACTGTCAGCTGTATCTCATCAGTTGAAGTTCTAAACTGACAACTGCATTTCGTCAGTTGACGTTCTCAACTGTCAACGTGAAAACTATGTCGTTAGATGTTGTTATAGTGTAGTTCAGTATAAGTATGATGACTTGTAGACCGAAAAGCATTGAGAAAAATCATGCGAAAGAACATTGAAAAAAAGAAGCACGAAACGAGCAAAATAACTTAGAAAACGGATACATTTCTCAAAACATTTTGATTGACGAGAGATCTTCACTTAAGTCAAGGCTATACGGGAAAAAGATGAAGGTTTCACTCATTTAAGAATCTTAGATCAGTGGATTTCAACATTGGCAGCTGAGAACGTCAACTGACGACATGCAATTGACTGTTTAGAACGTCAACTGATGAGATGCAGTTGACAGTTGAGAAGGAAAATCGCTACGACTACACCCCTAGCTCGAACACATTCATTAGTATTCAAATGCACGGCATTTCGAGAGTAGATTAAATGCGTTGTTAAAGCAAGTGTTAGAGTAAGAGACGCATCTCTCATGGAATATCGAAGAAATGCTAGATGAGGTACACAATTTTTTTTTACTTGCGAAATTACGAGAGTTTGGAACCAAAATGTGCGCGTAATTTCAAGTCGAATCATAACGTTATTAATTAAAAATAACTTTTTCTATTTTTCACAATTGTAATTCTAGTAGTACGAACACTAGGACTGGAACAGAAAGTAAAGAAACAGTCGCCGATTTAAAGGAACAATTGAATGTGATACACGCAATGTTGTCAAATATACAAATACAACTTAATCAGGTAAGAAAAAAATGTTATGAAAACGTTGTTTTTGAAAAATAAATCATTTTTTTCGTCTTTGCGTTTTCAGAGAAATGCTTCTGATCCAGAAGGTGAATGTACCAACAACAGAAGATTATAGTACTAAGCTTTAGAAAACTATTTACAACATATCTTTTTATTGAAAAAGATACTTGGTTCTTTACAGACATTATTCAATATAAATGAATTTATCATTATCAACCCGACGTGTGACTACCAGTAAGAAAAAATTTGAAAATTGAATCCTTTTTTCATGTACTCTTTCTTTATTCAAGTTTTCTCGTTTAAGATATATACTCGCTTGTGCTGATGAACGAACCTTATTTAAGTCTCGTTTGTTTTTATTATTTTTATCAAGAATGTTTCATTTTTTCTTGTGTAATATTTTTCAACAAAATGTATATTTTTATAGTTTTTCAGCTGCAAAAGGCGCGCACCACGTCATTCGCTTTAAGTAGACTAGAATTATTTTGTTTAGACATTACCAGTTATGTACGTATACTAAAGATTTCAGTCAACTGGTGTGGTTAATTAACTTAATATTCTAACCATTTTTTAATTTTTGCAAATATATATATTTTAATATTATCTTTGATTATGAAGTCTGTGTTATCGAATGAAAAGCTTTATAGAACGTAAAGTTGGTAATTAGTTAATTCTGTCGAACTGTTTTTTCTTTTTCCTTCTGCACCCTATGATACTACTAAAAAGTGTAGTTTCTGCACACAAACGTGAAATAAAACATCGCATTCTGCAGTAAAAATAGAAAAAATCTTGGTTATAAGCTCTAGCGAAAACTACAGATTTTCTCGTGTGGGTACAGACTATGGACCTAATTGCTTTTCAAACTAATCTTTTTATGAGAAAAGGAAATTGTTTGATGCTATGTGTTTAAAATAATAAAAAAGAAGGGTTACAGGTTATTCCAGAATGGTAGAAAGGCATGGCAATGAATTATCGCCTAAGATTTCTTTTTATATAGTGTAGCGAACAGAAAACGATATTACTAGTTGCGCGACATCTAGTTGCGCATCATGAAAATATGTTTTCTGTGAAACTACTTCTCGAACTCACTATCACATTGCTCTCCCCACCTCCTGCAACATGATATACAAAATACAAAAGGAGGCTCATTTATTCTTCTTTTCCAATAAACGGGTCTTCGCGGTAATGCCGTTTTTGCAATACAAACATTAACAGTAACTACATTTAAATTTGTGTAAAATTTTCGATTTGAGCATATTGTTATAACATAAATTATACTACACAACAGAATCAAAGTTGTATTTATATTTTGAGCAACATGTATAAAAGCTGTAAATGCTGATACAGAAAATGATGACGACATTTTATCTAGAATACTAACAATGGCATATTTCATTTTGCATTAAAGTAGACGACGATACATTTGAATAAAAAGTATCAGCATGGCTGTGTAAAAATAATTTTTCTCAACGTATAATTGATATTATGAACTATGGCATCGTGAACACCGTTATATCCTATGCATTTTCATCTCTGAAAGTTTCATCTGGTTTTTAACTATAAAAATCTGACGACAAAGTAATTTCAACTATACAATAAAGTTGCTTATGGAATAAGCATATAGCTTTTATTTTGTTAGCGAAAGAAAACTAATCGAGAGCAAGAGAGATAAATTCTTACGGAGTTTATTTTCATATATAAATTTGTTTTAACACACCTCGATCTAGTTCTATCTGAGTGTGTTTACTGCAGAACAATCACAGGCAAGTTAAGTACAACCACATCATGGATGAAAACGTTTTATCATTTTTATGCAGTCTAAAATACAATTCTATAATTTAAATAAATTCCTTTCAGTCATCGAACAAAGAATTCGATCTCTAAAACGAATAATTTAGCTGGGTGGTATTAATTTCTAAAATGATCTCGAAGGCAGCTGGACACATCATTCCAGAGCTTGGTTGTTTTGTAAAGGTGCCGGTAATTCAAAATTATAACAAGAATTTTTTTCCGATTTTTTTGGCATGATTGGATAGAGCTCATCGAGTTGCATCAGAAAAATACAATTCCACATTTTAAGAATTATAAAAAGAAATACAGTCTCACTGATTTAGAAAAAATGTATTTTCTCGGCAACGAAACAAAATTTTAAAAAAAGCGTCAAGTACTTTTTTCCTACAAGTATACTAATTAGAAGGAAATACCAAGTAATTTTAATGGAAAAAACTAGATACATTTGCAAGTTTGACAGTAAGGTTTTAATGATTCTGGTCCTGTTTCGTGGATTTGGCGTTCAGTTTCAATTTTAAGATTTTGGAATTCACCTTTTTATACTCAGTTCTCGATGGAGAAGCAGAAAAAAGTAGGTTTAGAATTTCAGAAAAACAATAAGTACGAGAAAGGACAAGTGGCAGAATGTAAGGTTTCGTGCCCAAACAATTACGCAATGAGTCATACATATTCGGAATCAGCGTCGAATTCTGAGTAAAACTGTATTCTCAGATCGTTCAAATTCGCGAAAAAATTTTTTTCGAAAAAGTTT